TACAGATGTGTATAGCATCATATGTATGATTCACCACTGGCGTGAGAATGGCTCATAAGCTTGACAATGAAAACCACAACTGGTTTGTCTAGTTGGCAGCCAGAACACTTCTATTACAAGAGAAATTGTGACGGAGACATTGTGTTGTTGTCAGTGGGAATGCGACTGAGGTATTGTTACGAAATTCACAGCAATGTATTGTGGTTGAGATGAATCACCTGGTCTGTCAAAAACTCATTAGAGGGTTTATTGTATAACGAATAATGTATTACCAAAGCGTTGGTGGTGGGGGCAGATGAAGAGAAGATGTAGGCGAAGGGGAAGACATTGATTACCAAGAACAAGAGATAGATATACAAGGATGACATGAATGAAAAAGGGGGGTGATGCATCGAAAAAAAAGAGGGGGGGGGGGGGGGGAGAGAGAGAAGAAACAGACAAAGAAAAAGAGAAATTGATGAAGAATATGAAAATCTAGAGGAAGAAAAAAGAAAATCAACAAGAAGTTGATGAAGATGATGATTATAGTGTTAAGTTATGATGATGATAATGTTCACGAACAACAAACGAACGAACGAACGAACGAATGAACGAGCGAACGAACGAACAAACGAACGAACGAACACACAAGTTTCATGTTTAAAGGGTTAAGAATTGGGCACGCAAGTGCATCTAACATTCTGCCCTTCGAGGTCTTCCTTCGTTCTTTCATCATTTCATTCATACATCAAGTAATAGTAAACATATCAGTATTATCAAATTATTCAATACAAGCACTGCAATGTGCAGATTTTCACTACAGTATACCGTAGTAGTTGTAATAACTCTAGGGAAAGTGTAAGTATTTCTTAAACATGAACATGAAAATGTAGAAAAAAAAAAAGAAGAAAAAAAGAAAGAAGATGAAGATAATGAAGTCGACAATGATGATGATGATCGTGGTTGATGGTAATGATTATGATGATGGTGATTAAGACACAGATGATGATGGTGATGACGATGACGATGAATACGAAAATGAAAAAAGAAACGGAAGCAGAAAAGAAAAAAGAGTTTGGTGTTGAAGGAGAAGAAAAGAAAAAGGTGAATAAAAGAAAAGAATAGCAGGAGAAGGAAGAAGAGGAGGAAGAAGATGAAGACTGACTTATTGAAAATGAATGAAAAGCAATAGAGACATATGTCACCTATAATAAATTAAAAGTGTGTTTATTTATTGAATAAACTGACAATCCCACTTTATCACGCAGTAATATTTAGGCTGGATAAAACCTACTGTTGTTGATGTTGTTGTTGTTGGATCTGATTTTTAAACAGCTGGGTGGATCTTTTAGACGAAAAACGTGTATACCTGAATAAATATATATTCTTTTTTATAAATCTTCTTTCTACTTTTGTAAATAATAAATAATTTCACAGCTTTTAAATATCAGTGGTTTCTTTGTAAAACATATGTGTGTGTGTGTATGTGTGTATGTGGGTAAATCAAACTCGACTTCTCTTTTTACAAAAACATAGTAATTTACCACTGGTTTGCATTTGAGATCCACATCATATTTCTAAGCTACCTCGATTGAATGATACTGTAAAGTCACCCTCGAAGTGTCGACGAGTTTTTATCCATTGTTCTTTACAATATAAGGACCTATTTATGTACAAAGGCCTTTTTCTAGCTAAGGAAATTACAAGGAGACATCACCAACAGAACATGTCTTTTAGGGATCAGTTATTACTAGAAGGGCACACACGATTTCACATTTGGGCTCTAGTCTAGTGAGGTGGTTAGTTCTGCGAGGACCAGGAAGAAGATGGTTCTGTCTGGTTCCCTCAAATGGATACAGTACGTGCTCATCGTTTTGCATTTTCTTGTCCTGGTAAGTTATTTTCAGAGTAGTATTGTGGTACAGATTACTTTGAGAGTAAAACAGATTACTTTGAGATTCGTATTGTGGAACAGATTACTTTAAAAGTCGTACTGTGGAACAGATTACTTTGAGATTTGTACTGTGGAACAGATTATTTTGAGATTTGTATTGTGAAACAGATTACTTTAAAAGTCGTACTGTGGAACAGATTACTTTAAGATTTGTACTGTGGAACAGACTACTTTGAGATTTGTACTGTGGAACAGATTATTTTGAGATTTATTCTGTGGAAAAGATTACATTAAAGGTCAAACTGTGGAACAGATTACTTTGAGATTTGTACTTTGGAACAGATTATTTTGAAATTTTTACTATGAACAGATTAAATTGAGATTTGTACTGTGGAACAGATTACTTTAAACGTCAAACTGTGGAACAGAATACTTTGAGATTTGTACCGTGGAACAGATTACTTTGAAATTTGTACTATGAACAGATTACTTTGAGACTTGTACTGTGAAACAGACTACTTTGAGATTGGTGTGTGGAACAGATTACTTTAAGATTTGTACTGTGGAACAGATTACTTTGAGATTTGTACTGTGGAATTTATTACTTTGTGATTCACCTAAGCACATCGGCGACTATGAGTATCTTTTACCTGCAGTGATAACTTGAAAGTTCAATGACACGGACACGAAAAATTACTCAACGACCTCAAAAGCAAAACGAGGATGAAAAGAAGAAGATGCCAACACGAAAAGTTTGACACCAGAAATGCAGTTCATCGTCGATTAAAGCAGCATTTACAACACATCGGCAGTTACACACGCGATTAAACACATAAGTATTATCCGCTCACAAAGTAAACCACTTTTAGCATAATCGAAACCGAAAAGAATCATAGATTAAATACGCAGCTCACAGTGTCGCGCTATGCACTCAACTGAAAAGCTGAGGGACGAAACTATATTCTCTCAGTCTACATATGGAGGAGAATGTAACGGTCAACTATTAGGAATCAAAATCTTACCACAAATAAAAAAAACAACAGCAAACCCGCCTATCCTCCATACTGACGGGAAGTCCCATGCTGCGATACCTGCGTCTTTAGGCATCAAGAAACCATGTGGGCAAACCTGTTATGGGTCGGGTCTACCCCTCCCCCCTCACACTTTTTTACCCATTCACACATTTAAAAAAATAAATCTCGCGAGGATATATAAGGCTTATTTCATCTGGCCATACAACAGAACGTGTTTTTTATTCAGTCTGTTTCAGAAGTCATCCCCAACTTTAAAAATCTGTAACTTGGTAATCGTTCTGTGTAAGTTGCTGGAACTTAATATGCAACCCGTTAAAAGCCATGCCCTTGTAAAAATGTAATAGAAATTGTAAACAAAAATATTGTTTTTATTTTGCCCTATTTGCCGTAAATAATAATAATAATAATAATAATAATAATAATAATAATAATAATAATAATAATAATAATAATAATAATAATAATAATAATAATAATAATAATAATAATAATAATAATAATAAAACAATGATTCAAAGCAAAACAGTCAGCTTATAGTTAATTGACTCACGAAAACTTTTCAAAACATCAAACTGCACGCGTTTCATTCCAACATTAGCCGATTGTGAGTTGGAAAAACATAATTTTACGTCGTCTGCGGGATAGACTATCAAAATAATCATTACGCATCGCTGCAGGTGTGAGCTGTTTTCAAACACTTACTGTGACTGTATGTTTTATTTTTAAGGGTACACATATTAGGGTACTGTCATTTTAACTCACCCAAACACGGGTAATCCTGGAATCCCCAAGAAAGTCTAAAATTATAGAGGTGTTATAACGTGACCCTGTTCGTTGTTGACACAATGTGCGGAAAAGAGTGTGCACCGTGTGGACTAACTGTGGCGAAATAGTGTGGGCAAAGTGCACAAACTGTGCCGCTTTCTTGTATGTAATCGTAAGGGGGATGAGCATAGGGATTTTGTGGGGGAAGGGGGAAAGGGGTTTGAGAAAGACCATGGGGGAAAAGCGGGGGATGGGAGGGTGTGGGGGGGGGGGGTGGCTGGAAAAAAAGTCTCTAGTCTTCATGAATATATACCGCTGGGTTATCCACGAATTGACTGTCATGCAATTTTACACACGTCAGTAGATCTGGAAATGTCAAATACAGCAAATGACGAAATAAATGAACACTAAAAATGATGAAGAAATACACGTTGAGATCCCAACAGATAACACCCCTAAAATATTGGACTTTTCCAATGTTTCGGGGGAGCTATAACGAAAGTACCCAAATTATTAGTCAGACTAGGATCAGAGAAATTCGCTGCTTTAAGAAAACAGTAGAACCGTTGTAATTTTAAATTATAACTTCATAAGGACGTGGGGAATCTAAAGCTATATGGAGTCATTCCTAATGATCCCTACATTAGTTTTCGAAGTATTTGTTAAAGTGCGAGGGCACAACTTTTGCGACAGACTATAACCTGATAAGAAGATATTAGCACAGTAAATTATACATTCTCCTGGAGATAACAAATTATGGAGAGGAATGATTCCTACGCTAGTCGGCACTTAATTTTACTAACTCTTCTTCCTATTCGCATTCACCAGCTGTAAACTCCAGGGGAAAGTTTTGTGTGTTCGTCCATTTCTAGACTTTAGTCTTTTTCTAGATCTAAAACTTTGCGTGCACATCCGTTTTACGGATCTAACCTATTAGTATACAGAAAGTTGGTTCTTTGTCTTTCAGGCAGATGCACTCTGACTTCGAAAGAAAGCCTCTTATTAGTCAACACTTACGACATGCTTGTTCGGCCGCAGTGAGTTTATTCTTGTTTCCTCACAATGGGGCCTTGGAATCCGCACGGGGAATAGTGATAATAATTTCCTAATTTCCACATTTTTTTTTGGCTGCAGACATCATTTGTAACCCAGCCTAAAATGGGTACCATGATGGGCTGTCCTGGGAAAGTAAAGACAGCCGGCGTAATGCTGACCACATTACCCACAGTGCTGATGGTCTATAAAATATAGGCGCTCTTCCCATATGCCCGATACGCCTAAAGGCGTGGAAAGGGATCTTTACTTTTTACTTTACTTTCAGACAACAGGTGTAGCGTCCATCGGGATGGCGATATGGTCACTGACTGCCCAGTACGGTTCAGAGAAGATGACCCACCTCACAGACTCCGACATCTTCAGGTTACTGAGCATCCTTGCCATAGCGGGTGGTGTTTCTAATCTCATCATTGGAATATTTGGTTTCCGTTGCATTCTTGCAGAGGAAAAGCGCTTCATGATATCTGTACGTATAAACTTCAGTCAAATATAATTAAATGTGCATAATTATATAATTGTATCGTTTATATATATTTATATATATATATATATATATATATATATATATATATATATATATATATATATATATAACACACATATATATAAATAGTTTATTTTATATTTATTGTATTACAATACTAATTGTTGTATGCATCCTTGTCGTCGTCATCATCATTATCATGGTCACCATCATCGTCATCATCTTTAACGTTGTCGTCTGCATCCTCATTATTAACATCATTATCATCAGCCTCATATTCATCATGTTTTTTTTTTAAACGTCTGCCTTTCTTAATTCATTTGTTTCACATTACATTCTACCCCCTGCATGCAGTTCAGTATTATGTATGGAATGCAGTTCATACCGCAGACCTGTTATATTAATATTCTTCGTTGAATTTTTCTTCGACTTCTTAGCTTCTATAAGCCTTTCCATTTGCGATTCTTTATTAACTTTGTCTCAGAATGTGCCCATACATCGCCATCTTCTTTTTCTCTTAGCTATTCTCCAGCGATTGTCCAACTGTCTGATTGCTTTATGTGTCTTGAATTCATCATATTTAAGGGTGACCTTAGCTGAATACGGGTACCATTTTTAAAAAACCATTGACAAACTAATGATCTTTTTTAAATTTGGGGAGTTTGTGCTTGAAACATAACCGCTTACTAATAAATTATTTGTACTGACTTGCTCATAATTAATGTGTTGTCAATACTCTTTGATCTTCCACGTTTAACATTTTTGTCTGTAACATAGATTAGGTAATATAAATTCTTTTGTGTTTTTAAAAAAACTTTTATCAGATATTTGTTACTGTTGTTGATTTTTCGTGCATTAATTTTATAAGCTTGTATAAAGTTCATTTATAGAGTTTTTCTGTTCAAAGCTGTGCCTTCGATTTTAAACCCTAACAAGCTAAATGCCACTCCGTGGCTTAGGCGTTGTGAATCCGACTCATAATCCAACGTACCGCGATCGAAACCCACTGCTGGCTGCTTGGTTTTTAATCAAGGTATGGGGCGTCGCAGGTCGACCCAGCCTAAAATGGATACCAGGATGGCTGTCCTGGGGAAGTCAAGACGGCCGGCGTAATGCTGACCACAGGACCCAACGAGTGCCGATTGGTGTGTAAAAAAATGGAACGCTCTTCCCATATGCCCGATGCGCCTAAGGCGTGAAAAAGGATCTTTACTTTACTTACTTAATTATAAGCTAAATTCTTGCACACACACACACACGCGCGCGCGCTTCGTGAATAATGATAATGCAATGTAGTGCACAAATATTCATTTAAAATAGTTTATTATTAAAAAAAAAAAAAAAAAAGATCGTCAGATTGCAAAATATATTTTCAAGGAAAGCAACAATGATATCGTACGACTTTTTCATGGTTCAAAGGGATATACTTTTCTGCTAAATTTGTTTCGGTGCAAAACGTTGCCATCGATTTGAAGTTTTGAACAACGGATCGACATCATGGCACAGGGGTAGTAACCCGTTAGTGATCCGTTCTACTTCTAACTTAAGTCGGAGAATGAAGAAGCTCAGCACAAAGCACGAGTTCCGTAGCACCGGCGAGGATCCTGAAATATTTTGGGTAAATTTAAATCTCCAAATTTTGCCTGGGCATCGCCGTTAGGCTACTCTTTTCGATTTCCACCTGCCAAGGGATTTATTTTAACAACAATACAAAGGGGCGACTGATCTCACTACCCAGAGACGAGGGAAAATTACTAGAAGTACTTGAAAAAAACTGAGGAGTTATAGTTTCCTGTCTTTTGGTAGTTGTGTAGCTTATGTCAATGTTATATTGCGTACTTTTCTGTAGAGAACATGCAAGATAGGACCAAAATTGTTTTTATGTCAGCAGAGTCCTCGCCTTACGCATATTATAGTTTTTGCGGTACTAAGTAATTATTAGTATAAATGGGCAAGAAAGAAAGGACACATAAAGCATGGATAACACAAGAAACCATTAAACTGATTGAAGATAGGAAAAGTAAAAAGGCAGACCTAAACATTAGCAAAACTAGAGCTGCTAAAGCTAGAGCTCAGGAGAAATACACAGAAGCCAACAAGGAAATTAGGAGGTATATAAGGGCAGATAAAGTGAAATATCTAAATGATCTAGCACAAGAAGCGGAGACAGCAGCAGCAAAAGGAAACCTCAGAGAACTTTACAGTAACACAAGAAAATTAGTAGGTAAATACAGTCAGCCAACTGGATCAATCAAAAATAGTCAAGGAAAGGTGCTTACTAACACTAAAGATCAAATGGACAGAAGTGTTGAATATTTTGAAATACTTCTAAATAGACCAGGCCCAGAGGTTCCCCCAGATATCCAGCCTTTAGAAATGGAACTGGATATTAACTGTAAGATACCATCCAAAGAGGAAATTAGAAAAGCTATCAATCTTCCCAGGGAAGGAAAGGCGACAGGCCCAGATGGTATCCCAGCTGAAGCCATCAGGGCCAACATAAACACATCAACAGAATTGCTACATAGATTATTCAGTAAAGTCTGGGAGACCGAAGAAATACCAGCAGACTGGAGAGAAGGATATCTTGTGAAACTGCCCAAAAAAGGTGATCTACAGGAGTGTGAAAACTTTAGAGGAATTATGTTGCTGTCAGTTCCGGGAAAATAAAAAGTAGAAATATTTTGGAAAGATTAAAAGATGCTATTGATAAAATGCTAAGAGATGAGCAGGCAGGTTTTCGGTCAAACAGATCCTGTACTGACCAGATAGCCACATTACGTATTAAAATAGAGCATAGCATTAAACTGAACTCACCACTTTACATTGGATTTAAAGACTATGAAAAAGCATTTGACAGCATAGATAGGGAATCTCTCTGGAAATTGAAGGAGCACTATGGAATCCCACTGAAAATTATCAGCTTAGTAAAGGCAACATACAAAGACATAAAATGTCGAGTTCTTTGTGAGGGAAAGCTAACAGATGCATTTGAAAAAAAAAAAAAAACAGGTGTGCGACAGGGATGTCTTTTGTCGCCTCTCTTATTTGTACTGGCTATAGACTGGACTATGAAAACAGTAACTGCTAAAATCAACATTCAGTGGACCCCTACAAAACAGATTGATGATCTGGACTTCGCTGATGATATTGTTCTTCTGTCCCATTCACGGAATCAGATGCTAGATAAATTAAATATACTTGATGCGAGATCACAGCAGCTTGGTCTGAAAAACCATAAAGGAAAGACAAAGATAATGAGAATTAATCAAGCAAATAGTAATGTGGTTTCTCTTAATGGCACCCCACTCCAAGACGTGGTCGTACACCTATTTAGGCAGTAATGTAGATAAAGATGGAGGAACTGATAGAGATATTAAAATAAGAATACAAAAGGCAAGAGGGGATTTCACAGCACTCGGGAATTTGTGGAGGTCATGAGAAATTAAAAGAAATACTAAACTAAAAATTTTTAATTCTAATGTCACATCAGTACTATTATATGGGGCGGAAACATGGAAAACAACCAAAGCAATTACTAATAAATTAAAGACATTCGTTAACTGGTGCCTGAGCAGAATATAGGGAATTAAATGGTATGATAGAATAACTAATGTAGAACTTTGGGAGAGAACTAAACAGGCTCCAGTAGACCAAGAGGTGAGGGACAGACGCTGGCGTTAAAAAGGACACACTGAGAAAAAAGGAGAACAGCATAACTAGAATGTCTTTGCATTGGAACCCACAGGGGCATAGGAATAAAGGAAGGCCAAAAAACACATGAACAAGAGAGGAGAATGAAGTTAGAAAGATTGGGAGGACATGGGGAGAGCTCCATGCAATGGCGAAGGATAGAACGACTTGGCGTGAGTTGGTTGAGGGCCTATGCTCCATTGGGGGATAGAAAGGCAAAAGAAGAAGAAGAATTCTGATATTATTTGTGTTTTTTCTTTATTTATGGAATTGAGACGCTGTATCTGCTATCAAGACATGATATTCAACAAAAAATAGTTGGCTGCTAAAACTAATTTTATTTCGCAAATGTACTACCACGGGTAGAATTAAACCGTAAACAGTTAATTACATATTCATAATACATAAAATAAACTCTTCTTTCGCGCCTTAGGCGCATCGGGTAAATGGGAAGAGCGTCCCATATTTTTACAGACCAATCGGCACTGGATGGGTAATGTGGCCAGCATTACGCCGGTCGTCTTTACTTTCCCATGACAGCGATCCTGGTCCTAATTTTAGGCTGGGTCGACCTGCGACGCCCCATACCATGATAAAAATCCTCGCAGCCAGCAGCGGGTTTCAATCGCGGTACGTTGGATTACAAGTCGGACTCGCAACGCCTTAGCCACAGACGCTTCAACTACATATTCAGTAACAGTATAATTGGCTATTTATAGTATTGGTTGACAATTTTACCATCTGTAGTTTGCTATTACTTACTATACTGTCGACGCTCACATCCTTGTTTAAATCAGCAGTTCACAACTATTTTGTAGCCGATATTTGTGACGTAGTCCCTAAAGCCTTCAACAGCATCTTATGTTCACAAATGATATTTTAAAAAGTCGGGAGATATGAAACAGCGTCATTGCACACGGTTATAAACAATAAGTGCTTTGCCACCAGTACTGACAGCTGATAAGCAACTGTCCGCCTGTATCGCCGTCCGCATGCAACTCTGTAGCTACAGCGACGTTCCTCTATTTACCCAAGAGTGTTAACTCCGGTACCCATTTCCTAAAGGCTGGGTGAATCCAAGGAACCACCCGGACGTGGGTTGCCACGAGTCGCAGCTGGATTTGAAAGCGAGTCTCCTATCGACTGCGCTAAAGCGGCCCCTTACAAAAGATATTAAGGAGCGAGGAAAAGAGGGTAGATATATTTTAACAGAATATGAAGTAAAGAGATACGTAAACAGTTTCAGAACGTCCATGCAATAAAATGATATTTTACTTCTTTTTCAGCATTCCGAACCCTTGAGGTTCATTGCTGCTGATATCACCCGCATCATTTCATCTCTCTGGTTGGCTTTCTCTTTCCAGTTGGTGACACCAAGTGTTTGCAGGCCTGTCTGGATATTATCTCATCTTCTTCTTGGTTTGCCTCGTGGTCTACGACCATTCATCTCCCTGGTGTATACAGTTATTACTTCTCTGTCATTTGACATTCTTTCAATATGTCCCAACCATTTTAGTCTATTAGCTCTCATGATGCCAGTGATCAGTGGTGATTTAAACAGATTATGAATTTCATTATTGCTTCTCACTCTCCATTCCCCGCTGTTTGCATATTTTTTTTTTACATATTTTGAATTTCTTATTAATTTTCAATGTCATTCAGTTAATTTGTTTTTGTCCTGGAGCGTATGTTGCGTAATTTCATTAAACTATATTATCTGATACACTGGTATGTTACAACTTGTTTAAAAAAATCTGTGTTACATTTGGACTTAGCTTGCGACATATTTAAAGAACATCGTCAGCATCATAAACCACTTAGCTTAGTTCTAATTTAGCCTCCCCAAATAAAATAGGTCATTTTTCATTCACATGTTTGTTGGTCCGGTCGACTTTCCTGGAGGTTACTGGTGTGTCCCGCTCTGTTGTTTGGTTTCTGCGATGTCTTGCATTTACGTTTTCATTCTGGGAAAGAGAATGCCTGTGACATAGGTTGCAGCACCTTCCAGGTGTGTTGTGTTAGACCCAGTTTGTCCTTGTTTGTGGAGTTTTAGAAGTACTTGTGTACTGAAATATACAACACGATATATCAACAACATTGCGAAACACCCTCGTAGCCCTGTGCGAAAGTCACGAGGCCCTGGAACTACCAGTAAAAAGTGAGCTAGTGTGTATATGGGCAGCGCCTGGGGAGACTAGCGTCGAACTAACCCTCACTTATACTGTCAAGCCTCTTGGGAGGAGAGATTTGCGATTCAGCGCACGCTGCCTGGCAGTGATTATTATCAAGGCGTAATGTGAAACGTGTCTTCAATGTTGATGTTGTCTATCCATATTTTCGTAGCGTGCTTGTTTTTTGGTGTTGACCTTTTGTCATGAAACGATTGTGATGGTATTTGATATTGCTGCATTCTAACGAGTTGTTTAAAACACTTGATATGCTGTTTCTTTGTTGAATTCAGTACAATGTGTTATTCCAAAAATCTGTTTGATAGTATTATTATTAACTCGTTGTCGGAGGGTTATGTTGGCGACCTATCTCAGGCATCTTATCTCGCAAGTGGTGATTTTGCGCATATGAGTTTCATATAAGGCCCGTGTTTGGCACTGGTAGCTCAAAATTGGTATGTATATATTGTTTATAATTTAAAAAAAAAAAAATTGGACTAATTTTTTTTAATTATTTAAATTACGGTGTAACCTTTTTCAGCATTTTATCGCCATGGTGTTCATGTTTCTGTTCTTTGTGGTCGTCACTGCAATGGCCGTTGTGAGCAGCACAAATAGCGTAAGTTCAAACTTTGATTTATTTCACGTAGTTGATAAATGAATAAATGAAAAAAATAACAAATGAATGAATGAATAAATGAATAAATAAATGAATTAATTATTAAATCTCTCTTTGGACAGCTACTGACTAGGTTTAAGGTTTAAACAATAGATTAATTTCATGGCACAAGGATGGCAAAAAATAGGTGTCCGGAGAATCTTAGGGCACTGCTCGAACTCTGTAGCACCAGCGAGGATCCTGAAATACTTTGGGCAGATGTTTAACGCCAAATTATTTTTTTTCGATTTCCAGACGCCAAGGGATTTTTTTTACGTGCTAAATATTACACACGGGCGTGCAGTCTTATTACCAAGAGATAGTTAGTAGCATATCCTTTATATGAGATTGCATTTGTTGACTGTTGTGGTTTTTCTAGGCAAATTTACAGCCTATAGTGTGACTACCCAGAGACCAGGGAAAATTATTATCTACACAGGCTAACAGAATGACCGTTTTTTTTAAATTTCAAGATCATGTTCACTGCACGTCTGTCATATCCACAGATGCTCCGATCTTCTCCTAACTATGTTTCTTAGTGTTCTTACCCCGACAACTCCGATTCTGTACTGGTTGATTGAGCCACTGCAAAATTACCGTTAAATTCTAGTGCGTTTATGAATTAACATAGGGCCCGTATACGCAAAGAATCCCCACCCAGAGGAACTATCTGGCTCGCCCATGAGTGCAGACAGCACAGCATAAACACATCTTTGACTTTATATGTACATCCTTCTTTACTGTTTTTATTTATACCTCATCCTACGCAAGCTGGAGGAGAAACTGAGCACAAGGATGGCAAAGACGCTTACAGAGAGCTACAGTATGGGATCAGGAAATGAGCGAGTTACCCTCGAGTGGGACATGATGCAGCATGAGGTAATGATAGTGTTTCTTTTCTTTTGTAGTTACCCCAACTAGCACCACTGCCCTCATCATTATCAACATCATTATCATCATCATCATCATCGTCTATGCGTCATCACCTCCATCGATCGCCATCGTCATCATCATCACCATTGATATCATCAATATCATCAATATCCTATTGTAACTTCTTGCACTGATACCTGAATTTCATTCATCTTGTGTAATCCCAGGACTTCTCGTGGAGATTATTGCGACCACAGTAGATTTCTCTCCTATTTTCGTGGCTTTTAGAGAAAGATTGCTCAATTATTTTAATGTTTTATTTATAAGAATTGCTTTTTTTTTTTTTTTTTAAACTTGCAGTTTTTTCGTGCTTTCAACAGCTAACAGTGTTTTTCATCTCACATATTTATGGCAGTTATCATAGAATGGTACTTTATGTTCAGTTAGTGAAATACTAAATCTCATTCTGTAAAAAACTTTGACGAAAAACAACAACATGCAAACAATCAAATACAAAGGTTATATAGAGACTAAGAGTAAACAATCAAATAAATAATAGTTTAAAAAAAAAAAAAGGTTTTTTTCCACCCTCTGATATAATTTTATTACAGTTACAGTAGACTATTTTTGGGGGAAGTACATTCTGTTCGTTGAGTCCGTGGCTTAGGTGTTGCGGGTCGTACTAGTAATTCCAACGTACCGCTCACTTCTGACTGGCAGGTCCTTAACCTGTCACCTTGACACAAGGTTACGGGGGTTTTCCGCAATGCCATTGATGTCACGAGTTGTATATTTCACTACGCCAGCGCTTTTAACACTCTAAAAACATGGAGAAACTGGTCCTAACACAACGCCCCTAGAAGTGCTGCAACCAATGTCACAGGCATTCTCTTTCTCAGAATGAAAACGTAAGTGCAAGACATGACAGACACTAATCAACAGAGCGGGACACAGCTGTAACCATCAGGAAAATCGACCAGCTCAACAAACATGAATGAAAAGTGACCTACTCCATCTGTGGAGATGAACGTAAACCTAACGACCATTGGTATTTCAGTGGAATTTATTCAGTTTTTGTGCTTCATTTTATGTTGATGTAATTCGGTAGTTCAGAATGAAGTATAGGATTTGATGGAAACGTTGGTGGTAGAAAGTGATAAAATGGGTTCTCAGTTTGAATAACGGAAAGACGGAAGTAGTGGTGATTTTCAAGAAAAGAATAGTGCCTTAATGTGTAATAAACGTCAAAGGCGTTATGTTAGGACAAGTACATAAATTTAAGTATCTATTTATGTGGGTAACATTTGATGAAAGATGTATCACAGAGATAAAGAACACAATAGGACAGACCAAAACTCATTCTATCAAAAGAAGAACATTTTGTGCAACAAATTTCTACCATTTGAGGTTATGAAACGAACTATCTAATGCTATATAGAGCCAGTTTTAACATACGGCTGTGAATCCTGGACAATTAATAAACAAGCCGAACAATATCTTGATGTGGTTTTACAGAAGAATCCGTGGAATTACTTGGACAGCTAAGAAGAGCAACCTATATAGAAGCTTTGAGAGAGGCGAGCGTTTGAAGACAATTTAACACAAATATCGGAAAGAGACAATCGTCGGTTTTTTTGGGGCCATCTTATGAGAAAATGAAAAATGGATCATGCTGTGACCACTGAAAAGATCTGTGGAAAAAAGAGACAGAGGAAGACAGCACGAGAAGATTTTTGACAGCCTTCTGTCATGTCAACAGACGAACTGATACACGCAGTTACGGACTGCAGACTGTGGAGAGGTATTATTTCTCACGTTAGCCGGCAAGGCACATGATTATTACGAATTCGGTAATAACGTACCCGACGAGATACGGCGAAATGTGCCTGCCAGTAAACTAACTGGACAATATATTTGTCTGCCTTATTTAAATTCACTACCGGAGAAAAACACGTTTTGAAAAATAATTGTTTTATGCACAATACATTTCTGTTGCAAAGACTGACTGACTGACTTTCTACCCCCCCCCCCCCTCCACCCCCAGGACATTACACAAGCGACAAACACTCGATGACACCGGGTGCCACCATGTGGGTGAGGATCACCGTGGAGAGGTCCCAGAAACCGCGTTCAGCCTTTAGGCCATATTTATGGTCAGGATATATTGTGGCCCCTGGCAAGAGCCAGAGTAGGGCTTCAAATAACGAAAAATTTCATCCTGAAAAAGACGGAAAATATATATGCTGCTGCAACGAAAATTATTTTCACGCTAACCGAGTGTTCAGCTTAAGCGAATTTGTTTAAAGGAAGTTTTACTGAATAATCAAATTGATTGAAACATTTATTTCATTCGCAGTTGGAGTGTTGCGGTGTTAAAGGAAACGTCACAGGGGGACGATCTTGGTTCATATGGCAGTCCAGCAACTGGTTTAAGAAGCAAAATCGTAATGATCTTATTTCATTTATTGCTTTTGATAACTGATTATTGATTAGGAATCGACATCATTGCACACCTGGAATACCTATAAATATCCCGTCTCTGGTCTCAAAGTGTAGATGCTTACTGTTCCCGTAGCCAGCTGATTATACATATGAAGTTCTCTTCCTCCCATACATCGTTACTTGAATACTCTGCAGCTACTTTCTCTGTCACGCCTTCTCTTTCGTCTTTTGTCGTCTCACTGATACCAGGTTGTATCCCGGTGTTGGGGTTTTTTGTTTTTGTCTTTGACTTCTCGGGTGGCTTGGGTGATGGATTTGGAAATATTTTTGCAGGATTTAGCTACACCATTTATTCATATCTTCCTTGGTCTTCCCCTCGCCTTCCTTCAGATACTTAAAAAAGGGTCTAAAATGCAGTTTTGTCTGGCCGAAATTCTCACTAGATGGCCGAACAATGACATTTACTTGTCTGTCAGTATACTCCATAAATGGTCCTATATCAGCTTTCTCTCTAATGCTCTAACGTGTTCTTACTATACGTTATTTCATCTAACCTCGTGTCTTCTATCAGCATCCGCTCAAAGATGGCCATCATAATGTCTCTGTTGTCCGGTACTAGCGTTCCAGTAACTATCTGCTTCTTTTAGCCAGCAAACCCGCTCTTTTATTCCCTCGCACCCCCGCATTTCCCGAACAGAATATATGCGTAAATTCATAAAATCTGGATGCACTGATGCTTGATATCCACTCACAGCACATTTATTCATTTTGAAACATCATTACTTTAGCTGCTGTGAAGTCTTGAGTCAGAATCCACAAAAAACCGCTTCTTTTTTTCTTCAAAAATGACCTTGACTCTCGGGTCGACATAGCTTGAAATGGGCACTATGGGCAGTCATAAGAAGTAAAGGCAGTTGGCGTGATGTTGATCACATCATCCATTCAGAACCAAGTGGTCTATAAAATTAGTATTCTAAAATTACATACTCCATGCGCCAGTGGTACACAAGTGGTCCTTTACGTTACTCTTATTTGTTGTACAAACAAAAACATTTCCAAGTATTTTCATCCTCACCATTTCAGGGCTGGACATTACATACAGTTTCCATGCCGAGGTTGCAGTTTGTCAGACTGAAACCTGCAACTTTGATCAGACTAATGAACCCTCAAGTTAAAAACGGTTGTGACCAAACAGGAGTACTATGCAGGAGGCCAAAGAAAATGGGAGAAAACCGACACAGAGTGGGTGTTGTCATCCGCTACATACTACGGGGTTTACTGTGGAAGCAAATTTTAAACTGAACATCTCAGGTTGAAAAACAATGATTATGATCTGTCGACTAATTGACTAAAAGACTGAAAGCTAATCAGTTTCAGAGGGGTCTTCACTACGATGTGTATCCTATAGGAGACAATATAAGACATCCTGTTCAAGCCTTCAAAAAACACGTGTTATTACGATACCCTGTGGTTACCAGCTAAGCTGTACGCCTATGCTTGATTTAAAGTCTGAAGTACAAACCTGATTGGGTAGAATGATATATATGACTTAACCACTTCTTATTCTTTAACTCCTATTTCACCACTTCGGGTGTCGAGGAAGATTTAAAGTTCTGCTTCTTGCACTTCTAGCCACCTCGATCATAAACAGACACTAGTAGTATAAGAGGAGCTGAATCCATATTATTTTCGAGGTTTTTTGCTCTTTAGGCTATACTAATAACCTGCCACATTGAAAAGAAAGGAAAATACTCCATCCCTTACCCGCCGAAGGAAACCCGCCAGATAGAAAATAGAGGAAAATACTCCAACCCTCCACAGGATTCCTCTCAACTTTCTTTGATGTCATATTTTCACACTGTTCGTGGTCTACCTCGTGCTCTTTCTCCATCTCCTCTTTTGGGGTATGGTTTTTGTGGTACGGTCTCCCAAGGCTATCTCTCTGTGGGCAAACCACCTCATCTGGTGTCTTTGTATACAATATAGCAATGTTTCTAAGTCGATCTTTTCCCTTGTATTAGTCTATTTCTAGTACTCCTGCAACCCTCTTCAGACGTCTCATTTCTGTGGTTACTAATTTTCTTGTATGGTTTAATGTGACTGACCATGTCTTGCACTGGTAGCACAGAATAGGAATGAATATGCTTTGTAAAAGATATATCTGTCTGCTAATTGGGACTATCTTTTGCTGCGACAGGGTGGGGTGATTTTTTTTAAAGAAGGGGGGGGGGTGGGGGTGGGGTTAGATGTCCCAGATTTTGGTGTGCCTCACTGCATCTGATTCAATCTGTTCATCCATTTCCCCTATCTTCGGTCTGACTGACTGACTTTCTACCCCACTAGGACATCATACAAGCGATAAACACCCGATGACACAAAGTGCCACCATGTGGATGAGGATCTCCATGGAGAGGTCCCAGAAACCGCGTTCAGACAATTGGCTATATTTATGGCCTGCCTATATTGCGGCCCCTGGCAAAAGCCAGGGTGGGGCTTCAAAAAAAACAACAAATTTCATCCAAAAAATCGGTAAACGTTTTTGCCAGATATTTAAACTCAGATTCGTTCTTTGTATTGAAATTACTTCTGTCTGTTCATTATTGAGTTTCAAATTTTTTTTAACTTTTTTTTTTAATTCGTAGATATTGAGATGCTGTTGCAATATTTTAACCACTAACATACTTACCCTTCCCCTCCCCTTCGTAGCTGGTGACCATCCATCTTGTTACGGTGTGTCTGAAGACCGTATGTAACGACAAACATACTAGGTTACAGTGTTACTATTCTTTACTTCTGTTATGTTCCCTTATATCACAGACTGTATTACTACTAAGAGTTATAGCATACAATAAAGTGCATAGGCAGGCCGACCGCTTTAGTCGTGTCGCATTATTTGCTTGTGGGAATGGTTAGGTTCTAGATTTACCTATATGTTGACTAAAAGAATACTTCTGTCACCCATCTTCTGAACTGAGTGGATTATGCGATAGAGCGAACTGTAAATTTTATGTGGAATGCTTCTCCCACTGTGGCCTTGCCGGTAATCTAAAGATTCAGAAAATGATGACTTACCTGTTGCCGTGTAACGGGTTGCGCCTTATGTGTTCAGTTGCATAGGCAATAGCAGGTTTGCTGTACATTCTTTAATCGACGATGAACTGCAAATATACTGACAGAATCTTTGGGTTCACACTTCTGAGAAATGTTTTTATATATTGATTACGTGTGTATGCTCTTCATTGGCCCAGCAAAGACTGCAGTCTGTTTCAGTATTTTTTTCTTTTCACAAGAGGCAGCTCCCCGTGTGTGTTTCAGAGCCCCATTGTGGAGAACACAGGAACAGACCCACTGCCTCCCCAACAAGCATGTCGTAAAAGTCGACTAATTGGGGGCTTCCTACAGTGTCGGAGTGTATCTCCCTGAGAGGCAAGGAACCAAAAGTCTGCCAATAATTAGGAAAGATCTGTAAAACGGATGCACACTCAAAACTCAGGTCCTGGTATAAAGCCAAAGTTCAGAAATGGATGAGCAGCCAGGTCTTGTGTCCCCCTTCCCCATCCCCCTTTACCGCCCCCCCCCCCTCGGGCACATAAGTAAGGTAATTATGTTGTAACCATCGTGGAAATAAAACTCAGTGATTAACTAAATGTGCTAACGAATTAATCCACTGCTCTAAGTTTTTTTTTACCCCCTTTACTCTCAGCTGTTATCATGTACGTGCCGGAAAGCTGTTGTAAAAAGAACGACTTTTTGTTCAACTGTGGAATTTCTAAAAACATGACTGACGAAGAAGCGAAAAGAAACTACACCAGCTTCACCCAAGAACACTCTGCTCTCTTCACAACGGTAAAACATATTTTTTTCTTAGCTTTTAGAAGGTAACGTATAGTAGTAACACATAGAAGAGCCACGGTTATCAATGGATAGACGCTTCATGTCGATCAGAAGGCCAAGGGTTCATATCCACATGGAATTGATATTTTCTCCACAATTGAATAGACCTCGGTTCCCAGGTCAACGGAGCCTAAAACGTGCATTAGGTAATGTCGTAGGAAGTAAAGGCGGTCGGTGTGACCACATCACCTTTCTAGCGTGGATAGCCAAAAAAACATACAGGGTGTTGGTTATATTTCACTACACTTTATATGCTGTACACATTTTTTTTTAAAGGAAAAGAAATTGAAGCGTACGACGTCAACAAAACATGTCCTAAAAAGAGGGATTGGCCGGCACACTACACTTAGAGGAATGGCAAGATGAACATATAATCAGGCTGTGTCCGATACCATTAGTACTGGAACTCTGCGCTGGCTGCTAAAGATGGAGACTGAGCGCATTTGGGAATGCCCCAAGTGCTGTGATGTCTTTCTTGACTCGGCGCAACTCAACTCAGTTTAACATAAATGACAACAAATAAGTTTACTTCACCTATCAATGTATTCTGAGGACACGCCTTAGGCAAAGAATAGAACTAGAAATTCAGATTTTTACGGTAAAATATAAAAGTTCGCTACACTTATTTACAATGGCTCGAAAAGATCAAAGGAATTGGCTGGTATTCAGCATCCTGATCGTCTATGGACTAAAGTAAAGAATACCACTATTTTTGCGTCATGGATATTCTAAGGCTGTAAGCAAAAAATCGTTGCGATTTAAGAGGCAGTTTTTGAGAAAATGGCTTGCCAGTTTGTTAAGAAAAGTTGAACGAAATGTACGTATAAAGTGTAGTGAGATTTGACAGATACCCTGTATAAGTTACTAATGTTTATTATGATGCTTAGCGTTTTAAAAATTTTGTTTGTTGAATGATCATTGTAATTTTTGGTTCACATTTTTGTTTATTTTTCACGTGTATTATTATTACTATTTGTTGATTTTGTTGTTGTTGTTGTAAAGTTAAAATAGTTTCCATCGTTACTCCGCCTTTTTTTCAAACGAAATCAGCTGTTAAAGACCGCAGAGAAAGGAAGACCGGATTACTATAAATAATTCTTCTTCTTTTGTCGTTTTTCCCCATTATATGAAAAAAGTGGAGTTAAATGAAGAAATAGTATCACTAAGAATATTGAGAAATAGGGAAGGTTGGAATTGTGTTGTGCCCATACCCAGTGAAGCCCTGGTTCCGTCCCAGCCTGTTTCCTGATAGAACCATTAGCAATAGAAAGTCTTGTAGGTAGGTGATTGCTTTGCTGGAAAAAAAAATCGTCACTTTCAAGCAGCATGCCCGAAGTGGGAGCTTGAGGTCATAAATGTGACTAGATTATGTGCGCCATAAAAAAATGCCTTAGCATTGCATACAACCAAGAGCCATGAAAAGGACTCTTTCAGGATTATTGCGATCAAAGGAGACATATCAAAATAATACCCTGACTTGCGACGAAGTCGTCTACCGGCGAGCTATTGGGTGACCCGGTCTCTGATGTGGGACGGTCGTGGTGTAACGTCATGTGTCCAATACACCAATGCCAGGAACAGAGTTCTGTCTTCAGCTCAGTGTTACTAGGAAACATAGTCCTAACTGTTCCCGACAAGAAAGGAGGATGGGGTGGGTGGCTGGGCTCAGCACCGCTTACGAACTTTCTTGAAAGGGACTTCTCAAGCGGCTTAAGCCACGTTTAAGTGCATGATAATAATAATAAATAATGTTGTGTGTTATTATTAGTAAGTGTCGAAAGGCCAATCAAAATAATGGTAAATTTGAAATAATATTTGAACTGTATGATCAAATGGCATTAGTCCACAATGGGAAACTAGACTTAGAGCGAAATTGTAATAAAACATAAATTATGGTCATCATAAAGAAGATATAAAATGCCACAGAGTGAAATACACGCAAACCAACATTCCTAATCTTGCCAATTTATACAACTATTTAGGAACAGTCATAATATAATATGTGATGTAAAATGCCTTGCAGAAATTAGAACTTCTTCTTCTGCGTTCATCCGAAGATGTAATTGCGTTGTGTCCGTTTACAGCATGGCTACGATATTTGCACCTTTCGGCCAACACATCCGACTTCTGCGGGCATTTGTTGATCGGGTTAGTCTTCCCGGTTAGGACATGGCAGTCTCATTGTTATGTGGTCATTTTTATTTCCCATGTCACAGGTGGTGCCCCAATCAGGCTGGTCCAGAGAAGCCACATAATGCTGATCAGCCCTCAAGAGAAGGCAGGGACAGAACATGAGCATTCCCCGCCATCCAAAGAGGCTTCCACAAATGCAGAGCTAATACATGGTGCTCTGGTACTGGGCTCACCCAAGGAATCGTCACGTCCTGCTCATGACTGTTTAAAACCTCACTTCCAAATATTAAACATCTCATACATCATGGGCTATCTCTTTTGTAGGCAACAGTATGCAGCCTGCAGACCTAGGATTTAATTTACCTACACCACAAAATGAGTACTTTGCTTCTTTTGCATGTTAGACTTTTACTGCAGTGGACTTCCTCATCCACTATAGTTTTTCGTGGTTTACGAGCTCTGCATCTCTAGGAACTATCAGCTCAGAGAATCCCAGAGTTTTATTCTTCTTAAACCTTCAGATGTCAATGTGGATATATTTGAAGAAATTAGCAGTTAATTTGAGGTTGTTGAAATCTCCACACAGTTTATCCTCAAAAGTTGCGGGTGTTAGCCAGAATAATTCTCTCTGTTCTGCATATGTTGGACACTCTTGCAGCAAGTGTTTAGCCGTCATTTTACCCTTTCCACAGTTACAATCATCATTGTCTCCTATCTTTAGTTTATTGAACCAGTGGTGTTTCAGCCTATTATGTCATGTGCGGAGTCTAAAGATCACTACTTGTTCTTTTCGGCCAAGTTGGTAGTATGCGTCAACCTTCTTGTAGCCTGGATGTTCAGAATCCCATTTGATTCTATATGTGCTTCTTATAAACCCTTTGGCCTCATCATAAGTTATGTCTATATCAGTCTGTGGTAGTCTTCCACCTTCCTTTGCCAATCTGTCAGCCTCTTCATTTCCAGGTATGTTGCAATGGGATGAAATCTATTGTATTATGACTCTTTTTGATTTCTGACTCAGTCCATGGAGTGCAGCTCTAAGGTCTGCTAGTTCTGTATCATTTTTGCTCTTCAGTGCTGAGACAACTGACTTTGCATCTTTCAAGATAGCTATGTATTCCTCTTTATTTTTTTTCAACAGAAGCATTTCTGCTGCAATTCTCAGGGCCTCTGCCTCTGCTCTAAAATTACTTGGGAACTTTCCTGTTGTAATCGACTGTGTTTTCTTTGATCTATTTTTTAGATCGAGGACTATTCTCCCACCTCCATTTTCTGTTGAATTTTTTGCTGAGCCGTCTGTATATGCATGAGTCCAGGTGTTACTTGGGTATCGTTCTTCTAAGTAGTTTAATGTGATTTTCCTTCTTTCTGTTTCATTCTGAGTGTTTCTTTTCTCAATACCAGGAATATTTTCTATCAATTCAGGC